AGAAATTGTTTTTGTACATTTTAAATAACAATGTGAGGCTGAGGCAGGCTAAAGAGTCCATGACCTTTTATCTCCCTCGTGTATTCGTTTTCTCAAAGTTGAACTTGATAGATTTCAACAAACCAAGTTATTTTAGTTCAAATTAGTTCACTACTTTTTATTGCTTCCAAGTATGTGGCTGTTATTGCTGTTATTGTAAACATGACTAAGTTAACGTGTATTGCTACAATCAGCTTGACAATGCTTGGTTCAAACTTCTGCTTTTCAATTTTTCTCTTTTGTCATTTCCATAATTTTTCAATAAAAAGTGATTGTAACATAAAGTGTTTAGTTGTATCTCGAGACACAAGTGCAATCTTGCCTCCATTACCATTCACGCCTCTGCTATTCCCATCCACAGTTGGTTTAATAGATTGGATAGAGCCAGTGTGTCACTGTTATCTGACTTCCTGAAAGCAGCATCACCATTTGTCCTCAGCTGAATTATCTCAGGCCATATGCCCGTCAAGTGGCAGCCAATGTGTACGCTCCATTTCATTTACCGAGGTCATTCTTAAATGGATTCTGGAGGTGATAATAGCACTGAAGCCAATGTGAGGCTATTTTGCGCCCTTTGTAAGAGAGTGTTTATTTTGCATTGTGTCTGCGGTTGCCTATTCTCCGGTTTGCCTTGGGGCCAGTTTTGCAGCGCTGCTTTGACAGACTGCTGAATCAGCACTGCCTCCTGCTCCTGTTTTGTTCATCTCCTTTTTCCCAGATTTATGAGCATCCAAAGTGATATTGTTGGTCTGTAAACATGTGACCTGAGGGCACAGTTTGTTCCGTCACGTTGTGGCTTTTTATATAAATCTTCTCTGTACTGTTTAGTCAAGAGAGAGAGTCGTGTGTGACCGTCCTTATGCAGCCTTTGTTAATGCCTTCAAATTAAAGTGCATTAAAGTACATTGACTTAATCATGTTTGTTGTCACTTTTGGTTCAGATGGTTCATAAACACAGACCATAATTTAATTATGTAGTTCTAGGAGTTATATGCACTTTTCAACAAATTCTTATATGAGAACATACTTTCTTGTACTTTTTTGTTTTTGAAGGATTGTAATTTTTTTAATGTATTTTATTTGTATTCTTTACTCTGCTTTAAATAATATGTTGGGGTAGAAAATAGGCTACTATTAGACTACCATTGATCTTGATTATTGTTGTTTCATTGCACAGTTGTTAAGAACACCCATAGTACGTTTTGGTAAAAGGATGTTAGAAATGGATCTCTTTTATCTCTGCACCGTAGCTCTTGATTTCTACTTTGAGATGTTTCTCGTCAGATACAGATACAGTCCTGGCTGTAGTACAGGTGTGTGAAACATTGCTTACCTCCTCACCTCCAGTGCCGTTTTACAGAGCCAGCATGATGACACATAAGTTCTCCCTCGCTCTCTCGCTGGGAATGAATTTTTGATCTGTGTTTTTACGGCGCTGTATTCACTGATGTCTTCAGAGGTTATAGCTTTATAAAATGTGAGTGCAGCTGCTCCTCTCGCACACATACGGCTGCCCAGACTGTTTAAGGGCAGCCATGTTTTTGGATTGGAACATGTTTGTTATTGGCGCATATAAAAGTGTGTACTTCAGCAGGAGACATGATGCTACTGTTTTCTATGAATACTGAGAGCGCCTGAGTCACGTGAAATGTGAATACTGTCCCACAATACTATTAGCACTATGCTAAAAATAGATACATGTTCACTGATGTATTAGTTCTACAGTACGTGTTGTCTTCCTATGTACTCTTAACTGCCAAGATCTTACAAATCATGTTTTATGCTAACTGAAAATAAAATCCTGAAAAAGTTATGTGTTGCACCTTGATTAGATTACATATTTAATCAAATATAATTGATGTACCTTTACACTTGCTGCACAACTAAACTACAGAGGCCCCAAGAAGCAAAGGTCAGCGGAGATATTAGCCTGATCTCAATTTGCAAAAAGGTTGTTTATCAATCAAATTTGATTAAATTACCCAGTACTAATTAAAGACGTGTGCTGATAAAAATAAAGAATTGTGATATCAAACCAAAAAGTAACTCAACAGGTACAATTATAAAAAAATCTAGAATAAAATAAACAGAAAATCAATATTAAAATGTTTGAACACTCTGTTGATACAGTAATTATTGTTCAGGCAGCCTCACAATGACTATAAGAATATGGCTTTTATGGATAACTATAGAAAGGTTAATCAGCCTGAAAATTATGATATTTAGATTTAATATATTTTTGTTTCTATATTTCTTATCATCTATATTCTTCAGACATTAATGGTTGTTGATTGATAGTTTCCCGCAGCGGCATCCCTGGTTCGCATTCTCCAGACGTCCGTAGGTCATATAGCACAGGGACGTCTGCCTGCGGTGCACCTCCTGGGGTTGTTATATAAGCTGTTTGTGAACATGTGTGGACAATGACCGCGTGTGACCAGACTTCAGGTCAGTCATTTAGCCTCCGAGAAACAGACGCAGACTCACCACTGGGGGCAGCAGCGGGGGACTGTGTTTTCTCTAACTTAGACATCACAACAAGGAGCTGCTTCTTTATGATGCTGTAAAGAACTGGCCACCAATTCTCTGGCCTGTTGTGTCTTTTTAAAGGAGCAAAAAAATACTCATATGTCTTAAAAGCTTGTTGATATCCAGGTCTAAGGTGGAATCACAAAAGTGCTGGAGTTTTATGACAGTTTGACCCTGAAATAAAAAGGGTCAGAGCCATTTTCTGGTATGTTATTATTTTTGAAACATCTAAGCGCTCTGCTCCACCGTCATGTTATAGCCTGGCCGAATAAAACCGTTTCCCTTTTTCTACTCGAACACTCCTGTTTACAACACATTATACATAATATTTTGTTGTCAGAAATTGTAATATTGATCAATATGGGTTTTCTGAGGCCGATGCCAATATATTGGCATATATATATATACAGGCTGGGGCTGCTTTTGAAGGCCAATTAGTAATAATAATAATAAAGAGTTGTTTTATTTTGCTGCAGATAGACATAGGGCAAGGCCTGAAGTTAATGTCAAGTTATGTCAAGTTTATTTCTATAGCACATTTACAACAACAATCGCTGCCCAAAGCGCTGCACAGTATAATATCAAATACCAAAAAAAAGAAAAAAGGCTGTAGTAAAAACGAGGGTAACTTGATCAATTCTCAAGCTGAATACTGTTTTATATTTGATTATTACTGAATAGTCCTTTCTGTTTTGAGTAAAAATAAACATTGTGGCTTTTTGTCTGAGAAAAATTACCATTAAAATGAGGTATAACATGTTGTGGTACAACCAAATGGGAAGAAGTTTGGACCGAGAGCCGATCTCTATCTACACCATGAGCCATCCCTGTGGTCAGTGCTTTGATTCATTCCACATTTATTGCGGAAAGGATTTAATCATCTCAGAGCAACAGACAATCCGTTCTGTAGATCTGACAATAGTTAGGTCCAATATCCGACCATTCAAAAACTTAAAATTCCACTCTAACAATCTGCATCTATAGTAGATGCATATTTGAGATCTGACAAATATGGAAAACCCCTACAAATTATATTGATTAATTTTGGTGAGCAGAAAATGTTATAAAATTGAATTACTATGTTGTCTTATTTTTTGGGGGGGTGGACTTGTTTGCTCAGCTGCATCTACTTTCCATCCATCTCCCTTCAAACTTGACTCACTTACTTTATAGTCATCGCAGAGCCAATCCGATGCAGCCGGAGAAACAGTAAGACGGTTGTCCCATTAAATTTATTACCTTGCTCCCAGTGGATTTCCGCAACGCCACCGCTCTCGCTGGCATCCGTAAAGCTTGCTAAAATATTAGACATTTATCATGGTTATTACAGTCAGTAAATCCTTCCATGGAACGCACAGGCCCTTTAGCTTTGTATTCTTTTGGGACGCGGCCGTAAATGGATTAGGTTATTGCCTGGACTTACTCGCAGTCCTATCAAGCACAATAATCTCTGTCCTTCACCGCAGCCCGGGGCATGTATGGAAACTGACCTCAATAAAGTTTAAACACACATGGAGGTATATGCAGTAGTAATGGGGGAAAGAGTTCTTCTGCAGTGGGGGAGTGAGAGGAGATGACTGGGACAGTTGGGGACGATAGCTTTTCTGCATTTTCTACAGATCACTTTAGAGCGACATGATTCAGGATGTAAAAATTCTGTTTTTTGCACATAATACAAAAAAAAATGCAGCAGTTATTCATAGTGACTGGCACGGTCTGCTATTGACTTATATATTGGGTTAATAAAAGAAATAAAAGTGATGTAGTGCTTTAGTTATACTGGGACATTGTTCAATACATACATTCACTTATGAAGGAGAGATGTATAATACCAGGTCCTATAGCGTAGATAAATAAAGTAATAATTCAATATGTGTTTTGTGTGCGTGTTCATTCCGAATTAGTTTTCTTGCTAAGTTTGTGACTGAGAATGCGCTAACAAGAATAAAAAAGAGAAAAAAAAATAGACAAGACCTGCATAAAAAATCTTGATGAAGGGCCCCTCCTTTGTCATTATGGTCTTCCTGAAGTCCACAATCATCTCCACTCTCTTCTGGGCATTCAGCTCCAGGTTGTTAGCACTGCACCAGGACACCAGCTGGTCCACCTCCCTCTTGTAAACAGACTCATTGTTGTCAAATTTCTTTTTCAACGTGGAGAATGCTGAAACATGAACGCTTGTTTGGCCGCCCTTTCTCTTGTGAAATTAAAATAAGTGAACGTGTGTGTGTTCCTTATTTCTTACCGTTGCAGGCACAGGTCTAAACTACAGCATCAGGAAATTTTCACGGATTATTTGATCACAGTCTTAACGATATTCTAATGAAAAACTATGCCTATTGCGTCTTGCAGCCGTGTTCATGTTCATGCCATAATTCAAAAATGAATAGTCTTCTACTTTTCTCATAATATATTTTTCTTCTCATTTCTAGCCTGTCCACCGGGGACCTTCAAGTCGAGCCAGGGTCCAGGCCTGTGTCTCCAGTGTCCTCCCAACAGCCGCTCCACGTCTGAGGCAGCCACCATCTGTGTTTGTCGCAACGGCTACTACAGAGGAGACGCTGACCAGCCGGACGAGCCCTGCACCAGTCAGTTCTCATTAACAAACTCTATCATTAGTAAACCATATATCCACACATACTGTATATCCACACATATACACTGTTCAACGTGTGTACAGAAGCATGAAGACATGGATATTTAACAGTTGTGTGGAACAGAAATAACATTGCTTGTGCTGCTTTATTCCTAATCTATAAAACACAGAACGTTTTTATTTCCGCACTTAAACAACTGAATGATATCTTGAGTCAAAAATAACGGAGACGAAAGATCGAAAGCCTTTACCTTGCTCTGTTTTTCCAAATTTGAAAATTACTGGCTGCAAACTCAGCCATGTAAACCTATATAATGCCATTTCACAAGAATAATTGCCAAAACTAATTCAGGAATAATAACATAGTGGTACAATTACATCATACAATTGCAAGTTTGAGACAGAAAGGACAGGTATACATGTTTGGGCCAGAATTCCTGATAGCGTGGATGGATCTACAATAGGTCTGATTCGTCCTGTTTAAACATGGTTAAAAAATTAAAAATATAGATCTTTAAAGTTCGCCATAACAGGCCTTGTTACATCCATGCATTCCCGACTTGTGTGCGCGCATCAGAGCTATAGGCCTATACATGTCCATGAGCTTCATTAAGACATGTTCCGCTCAGAAACTTTGTAAAAACAGTTAATCCATTTGTAGAGTTCAGTTTAAGTTTAGTTTAAGTGGGCCGATTATGTTTCCGATCAGACTGGTCTTGATTCATCTCTTTTGAAACTGATCCGCGACTTTTATGAGGACTGTTAATTGGTACAGTTACCCAGAGTTCACTTGGAGCTGAAGTGTGAAAAAGCCCTTAGAGAGTAGACACATTGAGACGATGAGAGATGAGTGAGCTAGGGAAAAAAAACATACCATAATCGAAGGATAAGTTTTGTCAGTTAGTGGAACCTTCTAGTTTAATGAGCTCAGTATTTCCATAGACACAAGCAGAAGGGGGCAGTACATTGCAGGACACATTTGTAGAGATGTAGAATTTTTTGCAATAAACACAAAAAAATGCATGATTACACATTATTATTTTCCACTTAAATATAAATCCATGTATCCATAGCACATTCATCACTACTGGCTGGCTCACAGTTGCTTTAAATACAAGTTGTGCAAAAGCTTTACTTTCAACTAGCCCTTCTCCGGTCTCCCCCTCCTCTTGGCTGTTTGGCTCTGCGTTCCAGCCTCTCTTTGGCCCCCTCTCATCCCCTGAAGTCCTAATTACTCAGACAAACGCTGCGCCGCCTTGACACCGTCCTGCTGCTATCCGCTGGACATCCGATCAGGGCCCTCTCAGCCTCTGTAGTTATCTTAATACCTTGTTCCAGCAATATGCAAAGCACGTTCCCCTTTTCTCCCCCCACTGAACCTGGAACACCACGACCACACTCTTGTCTTCATTAGGATTTTTTTTTTTTAGACCCTCCAATATTGTCGGACATCATTACAACAACAATTATCCTAATCGTTTATTGTCTTGCAAGCATTTAACTGCTGTTATGTATTTAGCAGTGATTTTATTGAAGCAGGTATTTCTAATTGGCCTCACGATCGAACAGAAGACCACCAATGCTTAAAGCATCTGTGTTCTGTTGCTGATAAAATATGCATCATTTCTGCTCTGTTTTTAATTATTCAAGTAAAAATGCCTTCAAGCGAATCATGTTGATTTGTTGTGGTACGTTGTGTGTCTATATATGTTCGTGGCGACGCTCTCCAGGGTGTCACACTGAATGGTTCATCAAATTTATCATCCGGAGATGTGCCATGAGGGTTTAGTTTTCCCAAAGTGTGTTACAACAGCTCACCTCAGCAACTCCAGAAAGATTACAAGATTACATATGCCTAAAGTATTTGCAGCAACCAGAATTTTGCGCGTTGAAATTATGAGAAAAATATGAAATAAATTTGGTATCTGAGGGTTAATGCATGGTGGCAGTCAATGTATGGCTTCATATCTGGGGAATATGTAGCAATTCACTAACATAAAACATTTTAAAAGGCCTGAGAAGAAACTGACTCTTCTTCAAATTTGATAAGACGCTAGAAACATTTCAGTTTTGCAACGTACAACACAAAGCAGTGGGTTTAGTAAGCCCTCAATCCAAGATGAATAGCACTGTCTTGATATTGTTACACACAATATAGTTTTAGCCTGTGTATTGCAGATAGAATCTTCGATAGAATAGACTCTAGAAGTATCCGCAATGCCCACTTTTCCTAATCATTGCCTTCGCCGTCTTTTATCATCGTACAATCTCCCATTATAGATTAAGAGATCATATATTCGTCCAGCAGTGGGGAAATTTCAGTGTTGCATTACCAGTCACGGAACAGTAGGAATGAGTGGCACAACGCACAAGATAAATGAACAATAATAATAATGAAAAATATAATAAAAATCTGTAACTCTAGCATGAAGAAGAAACAAGAATAAAATCTCTATAGTTTGCATAATGGGTACAAAAAACTCTGACTTTAGCATATTAAATAAGTATAAAATCTGTACCTTTGGCATAAGCAAGTATAAAGTACTGTGTAATTCTAATGCAAGAAACATATAGTTCCCACTGTTGGATGGTGCTGGTATTTTTCTATTTCTATTTTTTCTACTGCCTACGCTTGCTCAGGTCAGATGAAAATGTCTTGACCACAAGGCTATACAGTATTGATGATGTTACATGAGAACGGCTTCTCTTTCTGCATTATTCTCAACCTGAAACAACTTGAGATAACCATTGATAAGGAAATGATAAGTTGTTTAAGTGACATCGAGATGCATTGATGGGGACCCAAACCATTGCGACTGTCAATAACGATTATTGTACCTGATTTAAAAAAAAAAAACTACAGCTCCACACATCTCCATTCCTCTGTGCCTCTCAGAGAAGGACACAGGTGAAGGTCAAAGCTCGATGTACAACAACCACTTGCGTCTTGTCCGGATTTCATACTGCCAACAGGGGGGTGCGGCTGTCGGATCATCCCAGTAAGAATCTCTTTAATGCTGAGAGTTTGCGATAAGAGCGCTGTGAGAGTGGCTTAAATCAGGCCAATCTGACTCGGCTGTAGCTGTAGTCTGGGTTCCTCCCGCTCCCCTCTCTCTTCTTCTCATCCCCCTTGCTCCCGATTGCCCTGATTAGCTGGCTGATGGATTGTCCGGTAGTAGGTTCTGTCAGCAGGGGGGCTTCTAGCTATACCCCAGCCATCCCACTTTCTCCCCCGAGGTACATGCTACATATACGCCTACGCTTCACTTCAAAACAGCCCTTCTCTCCCCACTGGGCCCTGCTCCATCCTGGTCTTTTGTCATGGGCGCTCTGTCTCGCAGCGGGATGCCTCACTACTCCTGGCTTGTGTAGTCACTTGAACAGTCAAGTGAATGTGAGTGTTAGAGTTATGGTTCCGATTTTTGAGGGTTTTTCTGTTCAACATCCCTGACTGTATATAGGTGGACAGACAGTATTAATCCTGTAGCTCAATGAAGCCAAATGAGGAAGTGTTCATGGATGGAGTTTTGCATCATCTTGCTTTGGTTCCCATTTACTTTGAAAATTAAACTTCTAGTTCTGTAACTGTTTGTGACCACGCTCCAAATTTTGGCCTCAAAAGCATTCTCTGTGATCTTGATGTTTTTATTTTGTCTTTGTATATTCTGATATGAGCCAAAATCTGACCAATCAGGTGTTTCTGTCTCTTGGTGCCGCCCTGATTGGCTCTCGGTTGCTCGGTTGTTGCTAGCCACAAATGTGTTTTCAATTCAATTCAATGTATTATTGTATAGCTGTAAATCAAAACATCAGTTGTCAGGGGACTTTACAAAGTTGTTGATTCGCAGATCAGAGAATCAAACATTCCAAAGGGTAGCTAGATGACCAATGTCCATAAATGCTAATAAATATGCATAAATGTCCCTAAATGTCCTAAAAGTGAAATTGTGTGTGGAAGTCCTTTCTTTCACAAGTTGCGATACCAATTCCTGAAATATTAACACCTGCTTCAGAGATAATTTATTTAACTTGCTTGACAGTATATCACTGCAGCCTTTGCTATCAATATTGTAAAAGAAAAAAGAATAGAAAAAACACAACATATCAATAGAAAATCCCAGTTATTGTCCTTGAGATCTCTTTCAATACGTCTTGGGAGAGTTATCTGCTGTACGTTGGAGCAGGAACAGGCTGAGTGGTCACCAAGGGAGGTCAGGTGGTGCTAAGCCCAGCTCTGATTGGTCCATAGGGGAGCATCCTCTTATGAGAAATGAAAAGAGAAGGAGGACAAAGCCAGGAAGACTAATGGTAAAGATAGAAATAGTGCGACAAAGGCCGGATAGACTTTGTTCTGGTTTGTTATTTTGAAGAAGAATTAATCGCTTTTTTCTTGCATACTTCAACTTTTCCTCTTTTAGTGTTGTAGAATTTATCTGAGAACCTCAATAATGGATGTGAAAAATATATTGTGAATCAACTATGGAGGGTAACTCCCTATGCTACCACCAGAGGGTAGAAGTCTTTTTTCAGTTTTTTTGTTCACAATTGAAAATTACCAGCAGCAAACACAACTGCTGATTGTAAAAAAAAAAAAAAAAAAGAAATCACTTTAAGAGTTGCCAAAACTAAATCAGGGGCAATACTTTAAGCAGCTGTAAGTGTGATGTCATGGTGCTACAATTACAGATTTTAGATACATACAGGTTACATAACCAGAAGCGACCAGAAGTTACTGATATTTGCGTGGGCAGATCTAAAAACTACTCCAGGTCTGATGAGGGTGTTGTAACATGGATGCATATTATTTTCTCCTTGACAACATTAAACAAATCAATAGAGCGTGAATAAAACACTTATTATAATTTCCAGTCAATTATTCAATTCCATTCAATTATAAGTCCCATATACATCTTGCCACCATCATTTTCAGTGTGCAGGGACCGGAGACATTTATCATATTAATGCCTTTCTCCAGCGTGGTGGGAATAGTGT